ATGCAGGAAGGGCCCGGCCAGCTGCCAATGGAGGGGATGGAGCTGTGAGCCTGGAAACAGGACAGGGAGTTTGTGGGACAGAGCTGGAGACAGAGACATATGTCAGAAAGAGGAATCCTGAGATCTGTGGCAGGCCACCTTCACATGGTCATCAGAGTGCTGATGGGCACGGCCACATCAGGAAACTACCTCAGGCAGGAAAAGAGCTGTCTGTCAGGAAAAGGATGACAGGGCAGTAGCCGCTGCTCTTGCAGGGCTGGGAGTATGGCTTTTCCCGACAGCCAGACTGGAACACCTCCTATCACAGGCCACTGCGGAGAGCTGAGAAGGGGCTGGCCTCAGTACACTGCTCTGGTTCTACCTAAAAAATTGTAAAAACAAGACCCAAAAGAGTCAAACTATTCCCAAGTAATTTAACTGTGTCCCAGAACAAAGCTCAAGGAACTCTATTGGAAGGCAGGAATAACCCAAACTCAACAAGGTAAAATTTGCAATACCGGACATGCAATCAAAGATTACCAGGCATGCCAAGAAGCAGGAAAATATGACTATAATGAAGAAATACACCAATCAATTGAAACTGACCAAAACCTAACTCAGATGTTAAGATTAGCAGACAAGGAAACAAAAGTTTAATGTAACTCTATTCCAGACATTCAAAAAGTCAATTAGAATTATCGAATATATTAACAAAAAGATCCAAATAAAACTCTCAGAGTTAAAAACTAAAAAAAAAAATCTACAATGGAAAAATACATCAAGTGAGAATAATAGACACTGCAAAAGAAAAGATTAGTGAATGTGAATATATACCTATAGAAACTACACAAAATGAGGACAGAGAAAGGAAATCAAAAGGAAGTAAGGAAGGATAGTCAGTGAGCTTTTGAAAAACTCCAGGAAACCGTACACATCTGTAGTTGGAGTTTCTGAAAGAAAAAGGAAAAAAAATACATTTGAAGAAGTAGTCAAAATATTTTCCAATTTGATGCAAACTACAAATGCACGGATACAAGACGATCAGTGAAACCAAGTAAAAGACACATGAAGAACTGCACCAAGATGTATCACAATACAATTGTTCAAAAAATTGATAAGGAGCCTTACAACCTACCAAAGGGGAAAAAACATGTCACACAGAGGCACAAAAAGATGAGAATGACAGCAGATTTCTCAATGGAAACAATGCACGCAAAAGGGCAGTGTAGCAAAATCTATAAAGTACTGGGGACAAAAAACCCTGTCAATCTAGAATCCTATACCCAGTGAAAATATTTTTAACAATCAAGAAGCAATAAAGACTTCCTGGGCATTAAAAAGCTGTAAGAAGTCATCTGCTATAGACTGGCACAATGAGGAAGGGTAGAAGAAGCTGTTGGGAACAAGAAAATGATGCCAGGTGGAAACAGATCTAAACAGAGTGAAGAGCAATAAAGCTTTATTAAAACATGGTTGTATTAATTCTTTTATGTTTTGTCTACGTTTGCTGTCACAAAAACGGCAGAATAACTGAGACAGAGACTAATATTTACTATCTGGTTCTTTAGAGACAATGTTCATAAACCTTGTATTAAACAAATCTGTTTTCATTTGAAATTATTTGTCCTTTTGTACCTGTGTTTATGTTACTATCTTTATTTTTATACATATATACAAGTTTATGCATGCGAAGAATGACTTTTAGAATGAGGCTCACCAAACAGCCTTACAGTCAAGAAAAAATAGGAAATTTCTCGATCATCACCCTAAAACAGCCACTATCATCATTTGAGAGTATTCACGTCAAGCGTTTTCTCACACGGCATGGCTGTAACTCTAACGTGCATAAGCTTTCGCACTCTGCTTTTTCACTTAACAGAAGCATTTATCCCTGACCACAGTCTCACAGGCATTAGCTGTTGCCTGGGTTTGGTGAGACAATGTGGTGTATTATCTACACAATCTTACTAGTGCTGCGCATCTAGGTTGGGTTCCATGTTACCATGACAAGAGAAGCTGCAATGTTTAACTTTTTTCCATAATTGAGGTTTTTTTCTAGAATATACTTTTTCAAAGTGGAAATCCTGAATCAAAGGGTTTTAACATTTTTATGTCTGTATGCATACCGTTCACAAGATTGACAGCAACTTACAGTATCAGCAGCATCATAAGAAAACATCCCCATTTCCAGCCATCCTTCAAAACACTGAATATTTTGTATTTGCATTTTTCCCTAATATTAATGGTGAAAACCAGCATTTTAATTTACGTAAAATTTTTGTCCAGAAAATATTTTAAAATATACAAGAAGCAGTTATTTTCAGATGATATATTTAAATGATACTTTACCCTTTACTTAACTTACTCCATTGTACCTAAGTATTCCTGTGCATGAGACATGGAATCAAGCAACATTAAATGAGACTCTTCTGAACTTGACTTTTAAAGACACCCAGTCACTCCCAGAATAAAGATGAGCCATTCAACCCACTCTACTATGTGACTGGGCCAACAGCCCCCTCTCTCCCCCTGAAACTCTAGCATGTGCACAAGCATTCCCCAATTACCAAAAAATCAAGCTGGCATCCCCCAGGGCAGCAGGCAGGGTCTGTCCCATTCACTAGAACCAAGGACAGTCCCTGCCACCTATGCGGCATTTAAATATCTGTGGGATAAAGGAAGGAATCACTATTGTTGGGACAAAAACCAGCTTGATCTTCAATCAGGGTAATTCCAAAATCCTCTATCATGTGCTTCTGGCTGAACTGGTGAGGTCACGTGAAAATAGTTCAGTCTTCCTAAGCCTCATTTCTTCCCTTGTGACACAGATAGCTCCTCAGTGGCCTCACTGCCTGGTGGAGTTCTTGTGCCAATGACTGAGATACAGGTGAGCAAAGTGCTCTATGAAACGCAAGGCAACCGCCCACACGCAATCCACTGCCAGGGTGGCATGGCAGCACAATTTGGTGTAGTTAAAAATGAAAATAAGCTAAATAACAAATCACAGGGTGTTAAATAAATTATGAAACATCCATAAACCAGGTTACTACGCATCCAATAAAAGTCATGTCTAAGGATGTGGCACGATGCATATGCTGTTGTGTGAAAAGGCGTATCACATTATAACACGTGCGGTGTGATGCCATCCACACTTGCTTAACATTTGTTTGCTGTAGGCATACAAACAAACTAGAAGGCAGGGCAAGGTGGCTCACGCCTGCAATCTCAGCAGTTCAGGAGGCCAAGGTGGGAGGATCACTTCAGCCCAGGAGTTCAAGACCAATCTGGGTAACATACGGAGCCCCTATCTCTTAAAATAAAAAAAGAAAGAAAAAAACCAGGAGGACTGATAAAATATAGATAACAGTTAAATCTGTGATAGAAAATCTAAATTTTTATTTATTTATTTATTAAATTGAGACAGGGTCTCATTCTGTCACCCAGGCTAGGGTACAGTGGCACCCTCCACCTCCCAGGCTAAAGTGATCTTCCTACCTCAGCCTCCCGAGTAGCTGGGACCACAGGTGCACGCCACCTCACCTGCCTAATTTGCTGTTATTTTGGTGGAGATGGAGTTTTGCTATGTTGCTCAGGCTGGTCCTGAACTCCTGAGCTCAAGCGATCTGCCCACCTTGGTCTCCCAAAGTGTTGGGATTACAGATGTGAGGCACCATGTCCATCCAAATTTTTACTTTCTTTATACCTTATTTTCAACAATAACCATGTATACCTTTTATAATCTCAAAAAATTATAAAACTATGTATGTGTGTAGGCCATCATTGTTACTAATGTAAACAGCCCTGAAACAGTATAATTTCCAGAAGTTTACATTATAAGAGTCCTTCATTCTTCTTCTGTCTCATCATTTGAACAACATATGGCAGGATGGATAATACATTCGATCAACAAATTACTATTTGACTCTTTAACACAGCTATGAAAACAAAGGGCTAAGCCTCCCTCTATTTTCTACCCTTAACGGGGACTGTGTAAATCTCAGGCTGTATCGTCACAGCTGAGTTACAAATTCCTAAGAAATGGGATCTTAGTTATATTTAAAAAAAAAAAAAAAGCAGGCTGGTTCCACTAAGGGAAATAAACATTGAGAAACAAAATGCATAACCTGGGAACATGGATGGAAGACACGAGGAGCAAATTCCTTTTCCTGGCTTCACGTTACGGTCCTATTGATACTGATGACATTTGGGACTTCAAGATATTTTTCCTTCCCTTTTTCATTAAACACAAAACAAGTGTATATCTAGATTTCTGGACAGCAATGCACTTTTCTAAAGCATTTACAAAATAAAGCAACTATTTTTAACGTGAGCCATTTTTCTTTAAATGAGCAGTATCGGAAGCACCCTGGCCATGTTTTTCAGTATGATCACGTTAGTGCAATGAAATAATTCACAAAAAGTGGCTTTAGCTTCTCGTGACACTTTACTCAGTAATTGGTATTTAGCAGCCCTTGCCGGTTCACCATTAAAAATGGATTATTTTATTGATCACAACACCTTGAGAGACAGCATCTTAGCTCCGCCCACGAACATCTTCCTTCTGTTTTCTTTTTCTAGCAGTTCTAAGCACCTCAGCCATCCACATGCCTTCAATCTCACACACACTAACAAAGTAAAGGCGACGGAGTCTCAGGACGAATTTTAAACACTGCCATGGGTTTATCTTCAAGGGCCTTGGCGCATTATGAGAATGAAAATATATATATATTTTTTCCCTAAAAGAGGAGAAAGGTAGCTGGCAAGCTCAGCCTGCGGGACAGCTTGTTTCAAAGGAAGGGTTAATATCTTTCCTCACACTCAGCCATGAGCTACACCAAAGAGCCCCTCACGGCGTGAGATGGGAAGACATTTCACTTGATGTTGCTCAAATCCAACTTTTAAATTGCCCTTCAGAGGAATCTCTAGGCAGACAAGCCGACCTTCTACAGGGAGATCAAAGGGAAGTGGAATCAGAGTGGCCAGGCCCTTTCATCTGGACGGACAACACCAGCACCCGGTACCTGTTGCTCCTACGGGGAAGATGTTGAGAGAATTGCATATTAACCAGGCACCTTGGGCTCCTGGCGCGTGCAGGTGGACACGGCTGGCCAGGCATAGACCGGAGATGCATGCATGAACCAGACAAAGAACACAGCTGCAGAACAACGGCCCAGCCCCTTTCTCTGCTTCCCCCCGACGTTCTTTTACAAGTTCATCGCTCCACGGCCAGATCCGTGTACGTAAGGGCCTTGACGGCTGACACACTATTTACCTTCTCTGTGAAAAGAACAAATCACTTTGCATATTTGTTCCAATAAACTGTTTTCCTTTTCAAATTTCTGGGTAATTCTGTGCTCACAAGGAGGACGGGTCGGGCTATTCTGGAGAAGTCAAGGAAACATACCCCCACCCTGAGTGCTGTACCTTCCCTACGTCCCAGCGGTGAAAACCTGCGCTGTGGTTTTGAGGGACAGGAAAACATCCTCTTGGAATTCGGCCGAGATCATGAATGTGTTTTATCTGTGAGCAACGGCAGAAATGTAGACCGACCTTTACACACGTTTATGCATGCAAAGAATGATTAATTCTCAGTGTTCCTGAAGATCCTAAAGATGATCAACACAAAGGGGCTGAGGTGGCATTGCTCACACAAACGCAGTGCCAGTCACTGGGTCATGAAATCATATGCTGCTTAACCGTTCCATCCTTCCAAAGTGAGTTAAGACCCCACGCTTCACCAGAAGAAGACTTGAGGGTAAATTCAGATGTTTAAGGTTCACGAGTAGCCACAGCCAGCCTACGATGTGAAATGTACCGCCATGGACAATAAAACGTTCTATGATACCCTCATACAACACACATGGCACATCCCGAGTGTGTCTGTTAGTGTAGAGGTGGCACTGAAATTTCCAGTACAGAGATAACCAATACTCATGCAGATATTTCCACAGTCTGAAGTCAGGCAGTACTAAGTGTTTATAAGGCATGTTTCATATAGAAGCAGCAAGTGATCCATATAATGCCAAATTATTTACAGGATCTTTAAAGGAATATGAACCACTGGCAAGGGAAGTCCTAAGGCCACAGGCCCGGGGAAGGTGACATCGCCGCCTGGCAAGGCGCTGTTGGGACTTGCTCCAGCTGGGAAGGCTGAGCACAGGGCAAGGCTGTGTGCTACAGGAGAGGCGCTGGGAAAAGCCCTTCCCGCATGGGTTCCCTGGGAATGGGCAGGACGGGAGCCCGTGCTGTCTGGCTTTCAATGGCTGCTGCTGCTGCTTCCAAGGAAGGAAGGGGATAAGCTCCTGGTTCCATCCTTCTTTCTGTCCCGTGAAAAACCAGAATCTTCAGAAGAAAGGGAAGAGGGGTAGAGTCAGCTTAAATCTGACTCTGAATTCAAAGTTCAAGTTTTTTTTTTTTTTTTAGATGGAGTCTCACTCTGTTGTTCAGGCTGAAGTGCAGTGGTGCAATCTCGGCTCACTACAACCTCCGCCTCCCGGGTTCAAGGGATTCTCCACCTCAGCCTCCCAAGTAGCTCAGCTTACAGGCACTGGCCACCATGCCCGGCTAATTTTTGTATTTTTAGTAGAGATGGGGTTTCACCATCTTGGCCAGGCTGGTCTTGAACTCCTGACCTTGTGATCCACCCACCTCGGCCTTCCAAAGTTCTGGGATTACAGGCGTGAGCCACCGCGTCCCACTGAGATCACGTATTTTAACAGCCCTACGAGGGCCTGCTAGATTCCAGCCAAGGCTCCCAGCAGTCTGAGCTCTATGTGCCTTTTGGCACCCACAGTCGAGATGCATTTGAGCCCGACGCGCAGTGCCTCCTTCATCAACACAAACTGTGGATTCCACGAGTTATTTCCCCATGTAAAACCCACCGGTTTTTGTTCTGGGATGTTTTGCCAAATGATTCCATTCAGGGGCTGTCTTCCAGAAAGGTGAGCACGGAGACGCTCAGAAAGCACTGTGGGGTCCTTGCCAGGGCAGATGCAGCTGCCAGGACACAAGACCAGCTCAACCAGAGACAGGCAGTGACCAGCACTGCCCAGCAACTGAGGGACCCACCAGCACCACCTTCCACAAAACGCTCTGCTTCAAACCAGGGCAAAACATGAAACACGTCGGGAAATGTTTAGTCACTGCAACTTCTTCCTCGAGTTTTATCACTTTTTCCAAAACATATATGGTAAACTCAGAAGCTTTCTGAAAAATAATTTACACTGAGTTCATTCCACAGAAGCAGGTTCTATGAAGTTATGGTCTTTGATGAACAGACCAGTGTAAAAAATGAAAAGTAAGGCTGCCTTTCTACAAAAGCATCTTTGGTGGAAAACACCCCAGAGCATCTGAAACCGCTTTTAAGATGTCACTCAGCTGCATGGACACTGAAATTCTTCCATAGGACTAAAATATATTTATCACCAGCTAGAGTTTTAAACACCAGCCAGACACTTCCAACACGGCGTCATTATCAAGCCACGTCTGGTTACTAACTTCAAACAATAAAGGCTAACTCAGAACACAACAGGGAAGACAGTATCAACACACCATAGCAGGAAGGTAACTGACTCTCAGCTCCTGCTCAGACCCTAACTCCTGGACCACGATCACATTCACATTACAAAATTCTTTTTGTATTTTTCTTCTAGCTATGCGAATAAAATATGCCACTTAGATGACAGTCAAGTGTCTGCAAAATATATAACAGCAATAATTCCCAGTGGAAATGTGGCAGATATTTATACAAGAGCAAAACATGAAGCATAGTAGCAAAAGGCTAACACGAAGGTGTTTATTTTTAGAGGCTCTTCCGGATGAAATCATATGGCTGTGAGGAAGGAGGCCTCGGTGAGGACCCTCAGTGCTCGGGTCTCATTCATCATGAAGAGCGGAAGGCCAGGGGCCAGATGAAGACATTACAAAAAAAATACAGGTCTGTGCCAGGAACACCAAAATCACTACTACCATACACTCGGGGATGAAAAACAGAATTCTTACTGCAAAAGCGGCCTTGATTTTTTTCTTTTTTTTTTTTTTTTTGAGTAGAGGAGGGAGGTAGGGAAGAGAGGGGGAATATTCTGTTTTCTCCTTCAAGTTTCTGTTTTTGTTAGACTGGTTCCAGAAATCCTAGTCTCTCCCTGGGGAATCCCAGCTTAGTTTAGCCTGTCACCATCTTCAGTTACCAGAGTCACATACGTTAGACTGATCCACGTGAGAAAAACAGTCACTGGATACTTTTCAACCCACGCCCTAACCCCCAGCACACACATCTTCAACAACTGAAGTCTTCCTTTGATATCTCACTTTCAAGTGGAGGTTCTAATTACATTAAAACCGAGCCATAACCAAGGGAGACACACGGCCCACGGCGTTTCTTCCTGCCTGTGAACCGGCTCGTGTGGAGCCTCCTGAAAGCCAGTGTGAGGGACAGGGTGGGTGGCAGAACCTCTGTCCCCTCAAGGCAGGCAGCACCCATCACTGTCCTTGATCTCTGGGTGCGCTGGGAGCCTACCCACGCTTCTTGCCCTGTGCACTGCCCCACTGACTCAGATGAGAAGCTATGCCGGCATCACCTTACGCCAGCTCCACAGTCGGTTTACAGAATGATTCAGCTTTGACATCACTGGGTTAATATGAGTAGTTTGGAAAAGAGTAATTATAGTGCATCTTGAAAAAAAAATCTGTGACTGTACCCAAAGCGCTTCACTACGGTGTTACTGGAGGCAGAAAATGGCACTGTCCAGCAGAAATCAGGCTGGTGTGGCCAGAACCTGAGCCTGCCATCCCCAACGTAGCTTTCCATGGAGGCCAAGGCACTGGGCATGCAGAACGGCCAAGAGGATCCCCACAGAGAGCACCGCAGAGCATCCTGCCTGCCCTCGGAACCTTCTCAGCTTGGGCGTCTCTCTGCAGACAGGCGGGTAGCAGGCAGGAGAAAATGGCACGGGGCCCAGGCTGGAGCCAGCTCCAGGGCATCAGGCCTTCCTCAAAGGAGAAACATTCCCATCACCCCCGAAACTCACACTGCTGCCTGAAGCTCAAGGAAGTCTTACAAAGAACTCCCCAGTCTTCGGCTATCCTGTTCACATAGACGGTCTCTGCCAATGCTTACGTGACACAAATAACTTCATCCCCCCATTACCCAAAAGGCAGGTGGGATGGAGAAGGAGAGGCACGTGGGTGGGTGGGGACAGATTAATCTACTAAATGTTCTGGATCTCCCTGTTACTCACACGCTTATATGTAAGCTGACAAACTCCAGGACTCTTCCTAAGCACTGAGCAGCTCATGGGGGGAAAAAGAGCCTAGTCCACCCGTCCATAAGGAATGGCGGCTGCCCTGTTGGCCCAGTACAAATTGCCACTCTGCCCAGGAAGGCAGCCCCAGATTGCCCTGGCAAACAAATGCATTCTGCAACCTGGCAAGCAAACACATTCTGTGCCAGCATAAGCTGAAGGGACACGTGGAAATCAGAAGGAAAACTTTTTTTTCTCTGGGAAGATCCTAATAAAAACTAAAGTGTTGGTGATGAGTTGAAAATAACTGCAAACATCAAAAAGAGATTTAGAGAAAGGAATGGGAAAGATTTTGCTGGGGAGAACTTGAACGTACAGCCTCTGAAAATTACCAAAAAACCAGCAGCCCTGACTAGTACTGGAAGAAACATGGAGAGAAAAACCACAGGTGCACATGTGCACACACACATACATGCATGCACACACACGTGTGCACTCATATACAGTCTGTCATGGAAGAGAATTTCCTTTATATTCTTACTTTGCTGTGAATTTTCATCATGAATGGATCTTGAAATTTGCCATATGCTTTTTTTTCTCTTTTTCCTCTGTGAATGTGGAGAATTACACTGCTTGATTTTTGAATGGAATAAACCCCACTGGAAATATACATATTTTCCATATTGTGAACTTGACATTCTACTATTTTACTAGGTTTTTAAAACTGGTGTTTGTGGAAGACACTGGTCTGTGGTTACCATTTCTCAAACGTCCTCCCCGGATCTTGGCGTCTTGGTGTCATGGTCACGCTGGTCTTAGGAAACAAGCTAGGAATTATTCTCTCTTCTGTTATTCCTTAAAAGGACTAACATAAGACTGGAATTATTTCTTCCTTAACTATTTGATAAAACTAGACAGTGAAGCTCTATGGGCCTAGAGATTTCTTTGAGGGAAGATTTCTAATTTTCAGTTTCTTTAGATTAAATTGGTAAGCTCTGAAAAAACTGCTCCTTTTATCTAAACTGTCAAATTTGTCAGCATCAACTTTTAAGCAACATCCTCATTATCTGTGAACATTTGTAGACTCTGTAGTGATCTTTCCTTTTCATTTCTATTATTTGTGATTTCATTTTTCTTCATCAGTTCGACTAGGAATTTAAAAATTTTTTAGGAATCTTTCCAAGGACACAATTTCTGCCTTTGTTCACGTCTCTGTAACACCATTTTCTGCTTAGCTGGTATCTGATCTCATTTTTACTGTTACTTCCTACTTTTCTTAAGATCAACTTTGTCACGTTTCTGTAGCCACACCCTTCACTTCATGCCAGTGCCTGCACGGTGCATCTCTCTCTCTCTTTTTTTTTTTTTGAGATGGAGTCTCACTGGGTCGCCCAGGATGGAGTGCAGTGGTGCAGTCTTGGCTCACTGCAACCTCTGGCTCCCAGGTTCAAGTAATTCTTCTGCCTCAGCCTCCTGAGTAGCTGGGATTACAGGCGTGTGCCACCACGCCCAGATAATTTTTGTATTTTTAGTAGAGATGGGGTTTCACCATGTTGGTCAGGCTGGTCTAGAACTCCTGACCTCGTGATCCATCCATCTCAGCCTTCCAAAGTGCTGGGACTACAGGTGTGAGCCACCGCGCCTGGCCACATCTCTGATGTGATCTGCGTTTAAGATGTGCCACCTTAGTCTACAGTTGCACACTGTGTTCTTACAGCAAGACCGTCTCTGTCTTTCATCAGAGTCTCTACTTAGTCCACTGACTCCTGAAGTCCTGGCCACCATGCTGGGCACGCTGACTATTCTGCGAATCGCGTCCTGCTTGCCCCGCCTGTTGTTCATCCTTTCACTTCCCTCCTCTGCCTTCTCGTGGATAAATCAGGTATCTTTGTTATTTCATTTATTCCCTGCAATGGTTTTTTAGCCCTCCATTTCTGTTTTGTTTTCATGGATTGGGGATGCAGAGACTACAGTGTATACCCCGAACGTATCCCTATATTGAGTATGAATATGTCACCCCTTTACAGCAGGAGGGCCCCCGTGCTGAACTTTCATCTACTACCTCCCCACCTCTCATCTGAACTTATTCTACTGGAGACCAAAATGTCTCTGTCCTCCAAAGACACACGGCCTGTGGTCTGTCAGGCTGCAGGAACCTGTAGTGCCTGCTCTCTGCTTTTCTTCTGTGGGCCGCACTTCCTCATCTGTACCATGAGATGGAATGTT